GTGAAGTGCACTTGTCTCGTTTATTGGAAAGATGGACAGTTACTACTTTTTTTGAACCAATGTGGCTGTCAGTTTAAGGTGCTACTAATGCGTCTATGCATTTTTCCTTCCTGTATTTAATAATAGGAGCAGCTTAAAGATTTTATTATGTTAGCTGTGTTTTATTTTACTTTGGTGAACTGGAAAACAGGCACTCAAAATTATAAATACGTCAAATATGCCTCTCCCCTCATTTGTTCTCTTTATCCTCTTCTTCCCCTTTTTCCTCTTTTTTTAAAATCTTTTTCTTTAATCTTTTTCTTCCTCATAACAAATTGCCTGGTAGTATTTAGATATCTTTTACATTTATATTTAGTTAATGCAGAAAGCAGATTCTTAAATTATAGATAATACTTGTTAACAGAAATAATGAATAAGCTGAATGTTACCTACACAAAATTATACTTACAAATGTATTTAATACTTAGTTGTGCGTAAACTGCTCATTTGTATGGTTCAGTTCCAAATAAAGTAGAAAATGGTTTGCAAATGAAAGTTATACTGAATATACAATCTAAAGACTAAAACCAGTTTTTGGTAACTTCAGTAAAATAAAATGTTGCCATGTTTTAATTTCAGTGCACTGAGGCAGGAGGAGTAGCTTAAACAAAGCAGCAAAGGGTATGTTAACTTTAGATTGTGTAGTATACTTGTCCTGTGACAATTTCCAGCAAAATTAAAGAGCAAAGAGTTTGTATACAAATAAAAAAAAAAAGACATGTTGATATAATTTAAAGTTTAACATGATTGTTCTTGTTTTTACCTAAAGTTAAAAGCAATACTCAATCTTCTCCAGTAAAGTAGGACTTGATGTGAAGAAGTATGCAGTGGTGACAATATCCGTTGATTATTGCAGGGAACAAAATATAATAAAAAAAATATGTTTGGTAAAATTGTATATTATCAATCCCAGTGAGGCTGTTGATGAATTTGAATACAGACTGTGCTTACAAAGTGGTGGAGGTTGATAATTGGGCAGGGTGTCTCCTGGGAAGCTGTGCCCTCCTCACTTGGGGTTCAGCTGGAAGATGTTGAATACGCTGAAATTCATCCTGGGAGGTGTGGGATCCCTGAGTGCATGGAGCCTTTATCACTCTTTATGGGCCTTCAAGAAAACAGACCCCTACTAAATACTTTAGAGAGAGGCTCAGTTTCTCCAAAATTTCCATTTAGTTTTGGAAACTTGGCCTCCATTATTTTGCAGTTGAAGACCCTTTGACTTAAGTGGATATTTTGAGTACACACAGATCGTAACACTCAACCCTTCAGAAAATGTGGATGCTCTCAAACAGTGTTTTCATTTTAGACCCTAAGGGCTGAGCTGTCTGAGGTATTTTGCTTCTTAGAAAATGACATTCTATATTTTTAAAACATACCGGCATAGAGGGAAGGTCTTTCACTGTGCATTGTGTTGTTGCATTGTACATGTGTTGTACGTGCATGTGAGAGGTAGGAGAGAGAAACATTCTGTGCTGGTGGAGAGGTGAAGTGATTTGCATTTTTATAGTACTAACTGGTAAGCATTTCAGTTGTCAGCTCTTCAGCCTCCTGGATGTGGCTTCCACAGCAAGTAATAATTCCAAGCAGATGAAGTGAAATCTGTAATGAACAGTTGAGGAAGAGAATAAAAATAGGGATGAGACTGTAAGTGGGTCTTTTCACTCACAGAAGAACAGATATACAATAGGAGGTGAAAAGGAAAATTTAAATGACCGCTGTGTTCCTGCAAGGAGTATGCCTTCACAGTTCCCGGTGAGATACGTGTGGTAAGGAATTTCCAGGCAAGGACTTTTAGGAAAGAAGATGGATGGATACATAAAAATAGGTAGATGTTTAGATAGATTTTAATTTCTCAGTATCATCTTTAGGTGAAAGAAGAAGGAAATGCTTTGCTTCAGATTGAAGCAGATTGATGTATTTCACTGGATCAAACTGAATTGAAAGTTCACTAGAGGTTAACTAGATACTACTTTATATCAATTTATAACACTGCAGCAGCTGTGGCAGATTTGGGGATGGATGGTTCATCCTCCCATTCTTTATGCTTAAGGTTCCTGGTTCAATTACCTCTCCCATGCAAAACAGTGGGTTTCCCCTGTAATTTAATTCTTTACACCCTGAATTTTGAGAATGCTGTTGCAACAGTGATTTATGACAGAAGCAGTGCTGCCAAAACAAAGTTAGGATGAACTAGTGGACCTCCAGTTCTTGGGAAGAACTGTATTTAGCAAATAACAAATAAGATCTCAGTGATTATCTAAAATGTGTATTTTGTCAAACTGAGCTGACAAATTTCAGGCCTGTGGTCATAGGCTGAAACTATAGAATGTGTATCTGATGTTTAGAACTAAATTTTATTTGCTTATCCTGATATCCAAAAAGAACTTTGTCCAAACGGCTAATAATAAAAATGACAATAAATTATATCAGCATACTATATATAGGAACAAGATGATGCAGATATTATGTGGATCAGAAAGACATTTCCATTCTGAAAAAATCTAGGTGGTAGAAAACCGGTCACAAGCTACATAACAGAGTATCTGTGTTGTGGTAATATGGTCATGTAAATTTATTTTTGTGTGCTTGTGAGCTGTTTTGAGCTCACACACAATGCTATTTAATTTATGCCATTTGATTTATATTTTGGGAAAAGACCAAGCAATCCACAGGAGCTTCTATGTTAAATGACGCCCTGTATTTGGTTGCTACAAGGTAAAGCTAGAGAGCAGTGTGGTCATACTCTTACTTGTTCTGATGTTGTACGGACGGTTCATTGGACCCACAGATACAGGACGAGATGTTCGGCTGAACTGACCCATGTGTAAAAGTCCCTGAAGCTGAACTGTAACGCAATGGTGAGCAACGGTAGTGCTAAAAACACCAAATCCTCAAGTTCCGAGTCAGTTCAGTCTCAGGCAGCTCTCACTATTTTGGCAGTCATGGGTTAAATTCTTATTTTCACAGCTTTCATCTGTGAAAATGAACTGATGAGTGAAATAGCATAAAAGAAATCGTGACAGCAAAAGTTAAGGGTTAAGTTAGAGATACTTTGAAAAAGAAGTGAAACAGTACAGTATTTAGATTTCTCCTGGCAAAAATGTCTAAACCAAAGAACTGAGCCTTGGGGTGTAATTAGATTGCTGCCCCAGAGATGCATATTGATTGCTGCAGTGCGTGCTGACTTATTTAGAAAGTTTATTAACATTTGGAACTGTGATCAAAGATGTGTTAAATGAAAATGCACATAAGATTTAGGGGGTATTGACGAGATGGAATCGTCCTGATTGTAAAGGAGTGGAAACAAAACTGCTTGCTTAAACAGAGTCTTTCAGAGGGGAGATGGCACACGAAGCTGCCCACCAGAATCCCTGAGGGACCCTAATGACTACTGGTAATGCATTTCTGGCAACTTAGTAGCAAGATCTGAGAAAAGTCCCAATTCCCCTTTCAGAAAGGCATAGCAAGCGCCAAATGAACACTTACATGATGGTTAAAGAGAGCAATACGACTCTAACAAAGTAGCGGCAAGGACAGCCATTCTCGGGGGGGCTAGAAGTCCCTACTGTGCAGATCCTTGCTTTCTCAAGTGCTTCATGACCTTCCTAAATAGCAGCAGCAGCTGCTCCACGCAAATCCCAGATCCTCTATTTGTAGCAGCAGAGAAGTCTCTAGGATGGTGTTTATCAATGATGTCTTTCTTTTGTCACGTCTCAGTGAGAATTCAAATATAATAAAGCCCAGAGGGGTCTCTCTCTTCTCAAAATCATGTCCTCAGTTATAATTCCTTAGCACAAATAACTCATATCTAAGAAACTGTCTCTTAGTTACATAATATTCACATTGTTCTTCATAAAATTATTTCCTTACAAAGTGAAGATCTGAAGGTATGTGAACTAAGCATAGTAATTCTTTACACCAGCAGTGAGTATCTTTGGCTCACTTGCTAATTTTCTTACTAGATCCCAAGGAACAGTCTCTCTCACTCAAATTGAGCGTATAAAGACTTTTGGACATTTTTTAGGTACTGTGGTCTCAACCTTGTATTCACTGAACACTCAAAATGCACAGCCACATATGGGGGAAAAAAGTTGGGTGGGCCAGGATGGCAGGAGCAGGCACCCTAGCAATAGGAATTTCTGTTTGCAAGCACTTTGCAGGCAAACTCCAGCTGATCTCAGCTGAGCCATACATCACCTTGGGAGCGCTCACACAGTCTCCTGCCGAGCTCAAAGCACACCTAGAGCTCAAGCCGAACATCTTGGAAATAGGGACAGCCCCAGACAGAGCTTCCTCACGTCCTCCTGCAAAATACAGTACAGATCAACTCTAAGTGAACTCGAACTGACACCTCGGTAAGAAATAAGGTTTTGTAAGTGGCACAGCATGTGCATTTACAGTAAAGGAGTAAAGAAGCTAAATCTTGAGGCATGACAGGGGGCAAGAATTAGATAAAATAACAGGGCAGCATAGCAGATCACTGTGATAACTGTGATTATTATAGCTTGTTATTACAGATTATAATAGAGACACACAGCATGCTATTTCCTTAGACCTCTTCTTTATAAGGCAGGAGGGAGTTGTTTATGTGCCACATAACAGTGCCACATCCTTGCGCCAACCAGCAGCAGTGGGGATCAGATCTGTGATTTCTGAATCTTCATCGATGTGCCTCTACTGCTCTTCTGTGCTAAAGAAACAGCCTATCTGTATTCGTCTAATCTACATCATGACCTAGGCATCAAAGATTTAAGTGTGATTTACTTCTATACCATGTCCAGCTAATACTGGAGTGGAGCAGAATGCAACACTGTATGGGCATGGGCCTAATATGCAGAAATAAAAGAGCATATGGCCTTTTCATCCTATAAATCACCTGAATAGCAGGTTTAAAACTAGTAATATTTTCTTTCAAAGGTGACTTTTCTTTTTTTTTTTTTTTTTTTTTTCTGATAAGTCCTAAGCTGTGATACCCATGGATGCTGCAGAGTTCCGCAAGAGAGGGAAGGAGATGGTGGACTATATTGCAGATTACCTGGAGAAGATAGATGAAAGACAGGTCTTCCCTGATGTGGAACCAGGATATCTAAGGCCCCTCATTCCAGACTGTGCACCCCAGGATCCTGAGAGCTTTGAGGATGTCTTTAAAGACATCGAGAAGATCATTATGCCAGGGGTAAGAAGAATGGATCTGTAGTGTAATGTTCAATATTGCATTTAGGTTTCCAAAAACTTTAAGGAAAGCGTGGATTAAAGGCTGTGCCGCTAGACCTTATGAACATAAGTACGCATGCTGATTAGCTTTCAGAAGGCAGGAGTCTGATTTATATCCATAGTTCAATATGATCTAACACTTTACACAACTGATGTTTTCTGTTTTTGCTAGAAATAATCAAATCATTCTTTTGCTTCGTGTAAGGCTTGCTTTTGGAAATAATCCCCTTTCCTCCCTTGAACTGGTTAAGGCAAAGCTTTATAACTTTCAATTTCATGTGATATTTTTGCTACTTGCAAAGCACAGTAAATATTTTATAAAATGGTATTTTTATTAGTTTGCTGTGCCTAAAGTGTTCCTTCGAGCTGATCTTTAAATGTTAAAATTCTCTTAGGAGGCTTCTTTTTATTACAGAATTGACTAGAAAGGATTTTCCCCAATACTTGTTCTGTTGACTTACTCTCCTAAATGTCAGCTTCTTCTGGTACCTTTTAAGGTAGATGGCCACTACCTGAATATTAGTCCTTGGATACATCAGTGTTGGGCACACAATGCAAAACAAAGTGTCTGGCATTTGTCCAGTTCTGAATCTTTCTTGTTTTTCCACTCATGGTGTATCTTTTTATTTTAAATGTATGCTTGTCTCCCAAGGCCTCTAAGTACCTTGAAGAGGACTGGATTATTAGTAAATGTTAATGAGGGATCTCTGCAATAGCCGCTTTGGGTTGCTTCTCTGGATGTAGCTAGGTTATATGATTGCTATGTGACTGGACATGGAACCACTGCTCTGCAAATGTGTTTAGTCAGTGTACTATAATATCAATTCCTTTTCTTTGGCCAATGTAAATATTTGATGCCCAGTACAACCTTATCTTGTTTCCCTTGGAGCCAACCCTGCTGTCCTTTCACAGGCAGAAGCTCCACTGGAAATCAATGGAAATCTCTCCACTCTTCTCAAAGATTTGTGGATGACATCTTAAAGCTAACAGAATTAAATCAGTGCAGATTAGATAAGAGAATTATGTCCAACACATGCAAATACTTTCATTGTTGCTCATAGACGTGATTGCCTTTCCTTTTTCATTGGAGGAAAATATTAACCAAATCTTTTTGTCTGTGAAGTAGAACAGAAAACAGTTTGCTTTGAACACTTGAGAACATTAATAAAATAATACCACATTAAAAAATAAGAGATTAGTCATTTGAGAATAGAAAGTGAGACATTCAATTCCAATTAAGTCATCAACATGTCATTTCCTCTTAACTAAATTGATTTTTTCATTATATTCACATGCCCTGCAAATAAATTTACTTTTACAAAGTGATACATTCTGAAGAAGAAATGTTCTATCCAAAATTTCCCTCAGGTGTGAAATGTTAGTGTTTGTGACACAAAGAGCATAAGTACATAAAACCCAGTTCTTATAATAACTCTGATCCTGCCTGTGTTGTTTTTACTACAAACTGAAGAATCACATGAACACAGAATCACAGTCATAGTATAGCAGAGGTTGGATGGCACCTCTAGAGATCATTTAGTCTACACCCACTGCTCAAAGCAGAGTCAGTTAGAGCAGGTTGCTCAGGACCATGTCCACTTGGGTGTTGAATATCTCCAAGGATGCAGTCTTTGCAATCTCTCTGTCGCCCTGTTCCAAAGTCTGACCACCCTCACAGTAAAAAAGCTGTTTCTTATGTTTAAGTGGAATTTTCTGTATTTCGATTTGTATACGTTTCTTCCTGTCTTGTCACTGGATACGACTGAGAAGAATCTGGCTTCCTCTTCTTTACACCCTCTCATGTACCCTCTGAGCTTTCCGCAGGCTGAACAATCCTAGCTCTCTCAGCCTCTCATCATGACAGATGCTCCAATCCATTAATCATCTCCATGGCCCTTCACTGGAATCACTCCAGTATGTCCATGTCTTTCTTGTACTGGACAACCCAGAACTGGACACAGAATTCCAGGTGTGGCCTCGCCAGTGCTGAGCAGAAAGGAAGGATCACCTCTTTTGGCTTTCTGGCAACAGTTTTCCTGATGTGACTCAAGATGCTGTTGTCTGTCCTAAAGAGCCTGACCTCATCTACTGCAGCACTTCAGTCATGCGAGCTATCCCACCACACCTCTGTGATCCCAATGAGATCACAGCCCTGTAACTGTACACAGCCTTCTAATTCCTCCTGTTTGTTCCCCACACATAATGCCGTAGCATACAGGTGCTTCAGAGAGGCACCCACTTGTGCTGATTTCCCGGAAAAGATATGACAGCTTTCCCCTCAGCACTTCCTTATTTATGTGCATACACTTGGAGTGGGTCTGCTTTGGCCTTATCTTTTCAAGATCTCTCTTGTCCACATTACTCTTCAGCCTTTGCTTGCCAGCTCAGTCCGCCTTCCTCCCTCGACTGTGGGTTTTCATGTCCTTCCTCCATCGTTCCTATTTAAAGCTTTCCTTACCAGGTTAGCCAGCCTGTTTGCAAAGATATTTTGCCCCAGTTGTTCAGGTGGATCCTGTCTTTTTCTAGGAGTTGATCCTCAAAGAGAATCTTAAAACCCAAATCCCTGTTGTCAGCACCAGGGTCAACACTCAGGTTGCTTGGGTGCTTCACTAGACACAGCAGGGCTCCCAACCCATCTGCAACCAGGGCACTGGACCTGTTCTATAGTTGGCAGATCTGCAGCTGGAGGTGGAGTAGAAGCCTTTCTCCTGGTGCCAGTAGTTGCAAGCTTCTGCTCTTCACCGTCGTGGGACTCCATTTCCCAGCCCACTAAGCAGAGACTCTGACTGCCCCTCCTTTGGTATGTTTGGGGGTTCAGGATCTTGTGTCTGAGATGCCTTCTGTTATGTCTCAGGGAAGATCCACTCAATCGCCTTTTTGTCATCTCCGATACTGCACAATCTACCACCTCCTCATGCTGCTCCTTTACATGGTGACATAGACCCTCCACCAGTACATAGCTCCTGCAGGCTAAAAGACCATCTCCCACTGCCCCAGCCTTGGCAAGAGGCCCCGTCATCCCTGCAATCCCAGGCCTGAAGACCTGCATACTCCCTCAGGAACTCCCTCTGGATTGAGACCTGTGATGTGCCGGGGTAGTTGTTCCAGTTACTGCTGGGGACTGTGCGCTGTGGAGCATCACCACCTCTGCAGACACCATGTACACTAATCTTGTCAGGGTTTCTGGACCTCTCCTGCTACACAAACCACTGCACTTGTTGCCTGCCTCTGTTAGCTGTGCTCACAGAAACCGAAGTGTGACCGTGATGGTGCTGTACGAACACATGGAGGCAGGGAGCGTAGGAAGAGCTTAGCATAGGAAGACTTGTTCAAATTTGGTTTAGAGACCTTTAAAATATTTATAACTGGGTTTAGGGACTTCTGAAATTGGCTATAGGGACAATCTACCCCCCATTGTATTTTCCCTTAATCTTCTTCCCATCTTTTTCCTGACAAGACTAATGTTTGTAAGTACATCTAGTGTTTTTCAGTTATAGTGCTTTTCCAGTGTTTCACCGGGGAATGCCTTATCTCCATTTTATAAATGAGGAACTGGTCTTCTTCAGAGAGAATAAGTAATATGACAGAGGTCATAAAACCTTGTTTTGCCCATAAATTATCAGTGGCCCATAAGCAACTCTTGTTTCCTTCATGTTGACATCTTTACTCTGTTAGTTGTGTTCAGATATTTGCTACTTGCTGGATGACTGAAAGCATGAAAATGATGTTCCTTCAGAGGAGCAAGGATCTATTAACTGTGTAAAGCAATAATGCAGTATCCATTGCCATCTTTACCCTATAGGAGAACAAGCATTCATGAGTGGTAAAACTTCTTTATGGAGACCTCTTGTGAAATTGGATCTAGACCTTCAAAGGGCAGTTTGCTAAATGATAATGACCAAAATGGTGCTAAGTTCCTAATATTAACACAGGGACTGAGGGAACAACTGCTGAACTCTGATGTCCACAAAAGAATCCAAGGTGGAAGCAATCTGCATATAAAAATATCAGTGGGAGTCACCTTTCTCTCTCAGACTTGTTTTATTCTCTTGAAATAGATCTCCTCCTTTTTAAGAGCCAAAAATGATCAAGTTTAGTTGTAACTGCAAATAGCAGTACTGAAAATGCTAATTTTCCTCACATTGGATCCATTAGTCTATGAACTTTCAGCTGAAGTACCTACCTTTAGCATGTGGTAAAGGAAGACTCTTGCTTAGACTATGCAAGCCATAGAAAGAAAGACATCCTTAGAAGAAATCCAGGAAATAAAATGTCCCTGGGAAGCATTACAGTGATAATTACTGAATCCAAGACACTTGTGTATCACTGTTTATCAGCAGAGGGCTGAAAAAACAAGCATCAATTATGTCACGCTCTTTGCAATATTTGACTAAGTGTGTCTGTTCCAGCATGGCAAAAGAAATGAATTTTACAGCTGCTTCAAGGGAAAGGGTAAGGGGGGTCAGGAGGAAGAACCGCAGCTGCACTCGCCCTAGGGCTTTTGGCTTTTTGGCTTTGTGTGAGTGGTGCAACTGGAATCTGCTGTGTGTCATCAAACAAATGGCTCCCAGCAAGTGGGCAGTTTAACTTGATTAACCCAAGATGAATGTCACAAGTCTTAGAGATCACAGAGGATTAGAGCTGGGGAGATGAACAGTGGCAGCCCTGGCTCCTTATGGACGTCAGTGAAAGTCTGTGTGTGTGGGTCCTGTCAGGGACCACTGTTTATTTGGTACTTTTTAATCTGTTTATTGTTTTCCTGCGAAGAACCAAGTCCCATCCCATTTTTTTTCTGATTTGTGAAGGAAGGTGCTTGCCACAAGTGCTCTAAAACTTTTTTACAGCAAAGAAAGAGATCCTGACCAGATATAGGTTACAGCTAAAAAGGTTCACAGTGGCTGGTCTTTGGACACCTGATTCGAGCAGGTTTCGACCTCATGACCAGTAAAAGTGAAATCTTGAACATACCAGGAGCTGTTTTCATATGAAAGAGATACAGGAATCTGAAATGTTTTATATGGTACACTACAGCAGAGAAAGTGATATCTGATTCATTGTGTGTACAAGAGTTAAGACTGTTTCCCCTTAGCACGGAGCATGTCCCTTTAAAAAAGAGCTGGTTGAAGAAGGTTAGAAGGCGAAAATAAAAGGGGTATTTGCAGCATGCAGAACAGTGTGGTACAGTGACCCCTGAGTTAGCTCCAAAATCAGAAACCTTATCACAGACTGGGAGAGACGGGAGTGTGAAAGGTGAACTTCATCAGAGGTGAGAATGCGGAAAGGTGAGAATGTAAGGAAACACTGAGCTCAGGCAATAGAGAATGTATGGCTCCTACCATCCTCCAGCTGTAACAGAAGAACTCAAGTATTGAAAAAAGAAAATAAAATGGCATAAGAAAAGGCTAGGCTTCAATAACTCAGCAACCTCTGGATTTCCAGCCAAGGAAAGCTCTTACACACATTCTGCTGAATTCTTGCTTATAGTCCATCTAATCCTCTAGAGGCATTTTTTTTTCCTAAAATTTGCTTTTCATCTTGAATATGAAAACTGGTTTTGCCAAACGTATCACATTATTTCCACTGAACATTGCATTGTGCCAGTACATTTCCTGTTTTCAAATTATTAGATTGGAGTTGTGGAGCACTGTTAAGTATCTAACAGATCCTAAAATTGCTTAGATGTTGCATAAGATAATTCTAAATATTGCTGCTGCAAGACAATTGACTACAATTTGTGCAGTTATTGTGTTGTTCTTTCATATTAATGCATATAAAGTGGAATTGTACATAAATCACAACACGTTATAGAGAGATGATAGTTTAATTTTCTATAGAAGGTATTGGATACTGAAATGGATTGTTCTGAGGAGCTGTTTGGCCAGATTTGGTGCCTGAATTTTAGGAAATAACTCCAGAGTGTGGGCAAGACAGTTCTGTGGACCTCTGCTGCACTGAAGACACTCTTGCCAAGTCAGTCGTGTGACAGAGATGAAAGAACAAAATACTGGAGAGTCCCTGAAAGCAGAGGCCCAAGAACAGTGCCCTGCACAGAAACTCACACTGCTACTGCCACTACCCATGCAATTCTTGTCTTCTAGGCAGACAAATGGAGAACTCTGATTTTTGGAACTGTTGAGAGGTGGGAGCAATAACTAATTTATTTCTAATTTGAGTAAAAGATTAAAAAATGAGGAAAAAACCAAGGTAAACTTTCCTAAACAATGCGATACTGTGTTACAACCAGGTAGTCGAGACTGTTGACTGGTCCCAAGCTCTAGTATTTTCTGATTTTGTGACAATTTGTTTCTACTTCCTGCATTAGTTAAAAATTACTATTTTTCCCTTTAATACAGGTGACTCACTGGCACAGTCCATACTTTTTTGCCTACTTCCCTGCAGCCTCTTCCTTCCCAGCTCTTCTTGCAGATATGTTGTGTGGTGGAATAGGATGTGTGGGCTTCTCGTGGGTAAGTTTGCTGGGGTATGTACTGCTATGTGGTGATTGTGCTTCACCTTGCCAAGATTTTAAGCATTTCAGTAACATTGTTCAATGAAATTACTGCTTAACAGCAGCAAAGTTGCAGGACTATTTTTATAGGTAAATTTCCTTGACTAATTAAGTGTTTTCATATAGACACTTTGAGTGACTCCAGAAGCAAAAGGCTATTTCGTCTTAGAGGTTTTCCCTTGAAAAATTACCAGCATTTGGAATTAGTGGTAGCAGTGCAAACTTACTGGTAATTCATTGGGTAGTATGACTGTTGCCTATCACCCAATGTTGTTACTTCTCTTATCATCTGGATGAATAGAAAATTGTGTTGAAGAAACCCACATTTGAATGAGATGGGCTCTTCTCAAAAGAGGTTGGCACTTGATGTTGAAAAAAAAATATGCAAGATGCAAATCCTAGCTTTGACATTTGATAGTCATGGTTCTATGTGAGGCCCGGTTTGACATTTTTTTAGTATTAGAAACAACATGCACAAAATGATCTTGAGGTCCTGAATTTAGCTGGTGAAGTTAGTCAGCTAGTCTCTTCCTCTATAGTCAAAAGACAGAGAGAGAGGGAAAAAGTTATTCTAGCTCTGGTAGATCCTATTTCTCTTCATGGTCTAGTGAGGTTATTCCCTCTGTTCTGTTTTTCAACACAGGCCGCAAGTCCAGCTTGCACAGAGATGGAGACTGTCATGCTGGATTGGCTAGGGAAGATGATTAATTTGCCTGAAGAGTTTTTAGCTGGGAAGGATGGCCAAGGTGGAGGAGTCATTCAGGTAAGAGGGGACATGAAAAAAGAATACGGCATAGTTTGTGGACTTTACAATTTTGTAAAAACTTCATACCAAAACACTAATGAAGGAAAGATACTTTTTTTTTTCTGCCACATGAGTTCCTTGCAGATTTTCAGAATGACTGATGCTGTGTGAGAATGTCCATAGGTGGGCAGGATCATTCATGAAACTAATGGTTTTGTTTTCAGAGCAGCTGAATTCTGAAACACTCTCCTCTGTGGAGATTTGTTAGTAGTTCAACTTAACAGGACAATTTGGGCTTAAAGTTCAAATCATAAAGTTGAAAAATCATGTAGGATGGAAACTCTAATTTGTTGCTGAAGTGAAGTGAACTCATACTCACCGACAATGTGCAGCAATGTTTTATGGCAGAAAATAGAAAAAAACCTTCTCAAATAGAAATATATCTGAGGATTTTGAGTACAGCATCATGAGAAGTGGTTAGAAAGGCTTCCATGAATCTACCTTAGCCATGTTCAGTTGTTTACTTCAGTCAGTTTCCAAAACAGCCTTCCTTTTTTTCAGGAAAAAAAGGGTCAGAGATTAAGCAATGGGTGAGAACATAGGAGAGAATCTTCTATAAGTAGAAACAACAGAATGTAGTAGAAAGTCTATTAAAGAAGTTGAAATTATTCTAAGACGTTTTCCTTATATAACAAAACAAAATACTGGAATATTAAAATAAAATTAAGAGCTGCTTAAAATTTGAACCTAAAATTTGAACCTGTCAGTAGATAATACAATTTTCAGACTACACTGCAGTATCCAAAATAGAACAAAACCCCCAAACTTTGACATTGGCTGCTTAATGAAAGCCTACAATGTCTGAACAGAGTATCTGTACAGTAATGAATATATCATCAATGGGCAAACTTGCATGCATAATAAAGCTATATTGTTTGTCAGCCATGGCTCCACTAGCGCATGGTCTCTGCAAATGCAGACTCTGGTCACAGCTATTAATCTAACTAAAATAGATCTCTGCTATGAAGAAGACTGAATTTTAAGTAATTGTTCTGTGCTCCTTTGATAATCTCTGGAGTCTGGTCGTTGGAGGCCAGGGCACAATCCATTTTATCCTAAGACAGGCTTCTAAAATACATCTGAATTACATGCTATAAGTGAGGGCTTCTTTCTTTGGTCTCCGCTGCAAATGCCTACAGCATATTCCAGGGAATCTTCCCAGGCAAGTATGAATTTAACACAACTGCTGTGGTTCTCCTAGGCAGAACTGGACCTATACTGCATTTCCAGAATACTTTTTTACTCATCTCCTTGCCCTGTTAGGATTCTTTATCATTACTATTACTAGGGAGGGGGTTATGCTCAAGAGATCAAGCTTTCATCGTGCGTCTCAACAGCTTTTATTTTGTACCAGT